GACCGTCAACAATCCAAAACGCATTCATGCAGCAAATACGGTAATAAAAATTCATAATTTGTACCATCATAAATTCTATAAACGCACAAATGTTCATAACAACAACAACAACAGCGAAAACACAACACACTTTAATATTATTAAAACAAAAAAAAAATGTGTAAAAAAAATTAAGTAAAAAAAACATCAAAAACAAAATATGAAAAACGCCTTCAAATCATAAATTCAATTTAATTGTTGATTTAAATAGAGCTAATATATAATATAAAAATGCAGCCCAAAAAACAAAATCAAAAACAAAAAAATTTTAACTGTAGCACGTAGTGTAGGAAAAGCAACAAAAACATACAAAGTAAAAAATTCACACGCGCATGCGTAACCATTGCCAAGAGCAAAACCAATACAACCAACAACAACAACAGTCAAGAGCAAAAAAAAAAAAAAAAGAAGCTTGAATGAAAATGAGAATATTACACCATACACAGTATTACTCGCACTTTAAACAGCAACAACAACAACAACGACGACGACGACGATAACGATAACGAAACCGAAAACGCCACATGCGACCATGTGACCAACTAACTATTCAAAGCCAAAGCCAAAATAATAGCGTGTAAATAAAAATACAAAAAAAATCAAAGTTACAATTGGCAGCCTTCTTGTTGTTGTTATTGTTCTTGTTACTTTACCACTAACAAGCATTAAAAACCTGTCTTGCCTTAAAAGCAACAAGAACGACAATGCAAAAAAAAATGTATAAAAAGAATAAAGAAAAAAAATGAAATTTGCAAAAAGCGCAAAAAATAAAAACAAAAAAATACTAAATGTAATCATACACAACAGCCAGCCGTAATTGCTGCAAGTCTGGCTTCAAATGAATGCATTACGCGATTATTGTGCAGTTGTGGTAGCACTGTTAACATTATTGTTATTATTATTTATGTTGTTGTTGTTATTGTTGTTGTTGCTGTTGTTGCTGCTGTCATTTCAAGAACTAGGTCAAGGTTAAGCCGTGTGCACACAATTCCTTGGACCAAAGTCGTTCAAACGTTGCCGTCATCGCGTCATCAGTAGCCAATGACGTCGCGTCGCTGTTACCGCAATTACAATATTTTCTTATTGTTGTTGTTGTTTTTGTTGTTGTTTTTCATTTTCTCTGTTTGGTATTTTGGTATTTGAAGTTTGTTCGAATGTATTTAAGTTGCTTTTTTATGTTTAAGCCATGTTTGAGTTGCAAGCAAACATGTTCTGTTCACTGTTACCTTGCCTTGTGTGTGTGTGTGTCTGTGACACTTGCACTCAAATGTTGCTAACATTTACAAAAAGAAAAAAAATTAAACTAGTTTGTTATGGTTTCAGTCGAGTTTATAAGAGAGTTGCGTTTTAATGCAAAGAGTGGCTTACAAGAGTTTGGTAATACGTTGATTTTCCAACATAAAATTTAAGAGTTTGAAAAGTTTTCATACAAAATAGCGTTGTGTTAATCTAGTGTATCTTAGGGAAATTATTTAATGTGAGTGATATTTCATATATAAAATAATAAATTTACAAGTATCGAAAAATTAAATTCACAATTAAAAATAGTAAGAAAAAATAATTACTCAATAATGTGAATAATTAAAAAAATAATTTTTCATCCCAATTAATATGATTAAAAATTTCTAATCTGTTTAAATATTTTGTTGATCCAATACTAAGGAACTAATTTTTTGTACAGAATTTATTTTCTTTGCTTTGAAAATTAGTTCAAGATTTAATAATGTGCAATAAAATGCATAAAACATCGTAAAACCGTCATTTTATGCATGTGTGTAAAGTGAACATCTTATCAGAATAGTCGCCTAGACAATCAACGGACGAACAATCCTATTCGTCTAAGGAAACTGTGGTGGTAGGTGGATAGCATCTGTAAGCAAAAAGTGAGGCTTTAATTTACCAAAATCATCTATTATTAGAACTGAATAGAGAAGACTACCACCCGGCATGGTACAGGGAGAAGAGGGACTGCTGATTTTTTTTGGATTTTTTTTTTGGTGTTGAATGAAAAATATCGACGAATGAATAAAAAAATATTTCCATTACTGCAGTGTGGAAAACTGTATTCAAGCAATTAGAAAGGAGAGTTGAGAGTCGAAGTTTATCTGAACCAAAAGGCATTGACGTGGTAAAGTGTGAAAGTGAATAAGTTGTCGAGAACAAAATATACTTTTTATGAAAAATGATAAGTTAGCACATATAGAGCTATTGTTACTTAAAACAAGCTGTTAGTAAAATATATATACAAACATTAGGATTGATTGCATGGCATACTAAAGAGAATTATCCATTATTAAGAACATCCATTAAACAAAAAATTTCTTCAATATACTTATATTATACAAATCTACAACTTTCTGACACGTTCCAGTTAGAAAAATTTTCATAAACGCCTTGTTCTTATAACTAAGCTTAATAAAGAAATTTAATAGAAATAATAATAAATATAATAACATTAATATTGTATAAATTTATTCAATTTGTTAAAATTTGTGCTCGAATATACAACTTCCTCATTCTATCTAATTAATGAAATTAATACTTTCATTAATTAACAATTAACAGTTTAAACCTGCTCTACTCAGATATATCTACTTTCATTATTAAAAATGTTTTTATTATTTTTTTTTTATGTAAAATATATGCTCTGTTGTAATTTGGAATTACCTCTTAACAACTGTAAAATATATATATTTTAAAAGGGGGGAAAATCCCCCATAATTAATTGTTTTTTCACTTAATTTTCACGCTTTTTACTTGATTGAAATGCATTAAAAATAAATAAACCAGAGTTTACCACAACCCAAAGCCACGCCTCATTATTAACGCCCACTCTACACAATCACTTCAGACTTAACGCTTAACGCTAAGCCAACTTATGTAACTGTGTGTGTGTGTGTGTATGTATGTATGTGTGCGTGTGTGTGTGTATGTATGTGGTTACGTTAATATGCAACGCCACTTTGCAACTGAGCCTCTCGCGCTCAGCGACTTAACCCATCTTGGCCACTGTTTTAAACCGCTTACCGCTTACTTTACTTAAGGCTATAACCACATACACACAAATTCATATATTGATATATTCATATATATAAATATATATATATATATATATATATATATATATATATATATATAAATATATATATATAAATATGTTTATAACATTTTCCCGCTCTCAACAGAAAAGTGCACTTGAAACATTAGCAACGCTCATACGCATAAGTGCACATCTCAGTTTATATTTTTTTGTTTATATAGTTTTCCTCCAATTCATACTGTACTCATACTGTACAGAGCACAGCACACTGGGCTTATATATAACATATGTTGGGTGTGTTTGCGTGTGTGTGTGTTTGTATTATGCCTGCATGCCAAATTGTTGCCGTTTTATGTTGGCTGGCACTCGCTGGCAAGCTTGCCTTGCACTTGAGCTTAATTCTGTATTCAGGCAAAAAAAAAAAAAAATAAAAAAGACAAAAAAAAAATAAATAAAATTTAAATAAGGTAAATAATAGTTTATATGCAAAAGCATTAAAAAATATATGTATGTAAAAAATATTTTTTTTGCATGCATATGAAGGCATCTTAATTAATTACTGCAAAAGTATTAATTTCAGTGTTGTGTTTTTATTTTTTTTATTTTTTTTTTATCTTTTATTCTTCTCTGTCATTTACAGTTCGTTTTTTTATACCATAATTTATAATTATTATATGTTTTTATTCTTACTTTTTTATTAACATTTATTGTGATGGTTCATTATAGTTCTGAATATTTTATTATTATTATTATTATTTTTTTTACCGTTTATAAAAAAGACAATTATATTAATTACAGATTGTAATTTGTTTATATCGAATCAGTTTTTTTCGCACCTGTTCATTCATTTTTCATTTTTTTTATTATTTTAATAATATATTGAATTTTACGTCCATATATTATTATCCAAAAATTGCATGAAATAGTTTTTTCTTGAAAAGTTGAAAAACATTTCACTATACTTAACTCAGAATTTATTAATTTTACCAGAATGAAATACTTACTTACTTACTTAGTTGGCCATTAAAGACGTGAATCGTGCTTGGCCTTGGCCGCATCAAGTAGCCTCCGTCAGCCAGCCCGATTAGTTGCTTGCTGGCGCCAGTTGGTAGTACCGAGCGCACTCAAATCGTTTGTGACTTGATCCTTCTACCGAAGATCCGGACGTCTTTTACCACGTTTTCCACCTGCGAGTACCGAATCAAACACCATTCTAGCCGGAGCACTTTCTTCCACTAGCAGGGCATGATGAAGCCAGCGCAGTCGCTTCATTTTTATGCGCTTAATTATGTCTTGCTGGTTGCAAGACTTCAACTTAGGGTCATATGGTTCATTATAACCTTCACTGTTAAATTGTATTTAATTTTTAAAATACTTTTGTTTTATTTTTTTTTTTATATTATTTCAATTTTTATTTAATTTTTAAAATATTTTTATTTTATTTTTGTTTTTTATATAAATTTTTTTTTTTATTATATTTTATTTGTTTTTCATACATTTTTTTTTATTTAATTTTATACAAATAATTTTGAAAAATTATAGTAAAGTGTTTTGATATAAGTCTAAAAAATTATATAGGTATATTCGTAAAAAATATTTTCTCCTGCTATTTTTAATAAGTTTCTTTATAAAAATTTTTTGTAATAACTTTATCATTATATTAATATATAATATTAAAACTATAATTTTTTATTTATATTCAAACAAATTTTTAGATATATTGAGGATGACTATCGAAGATAGCCGAAATATTGGAATAGTACATCAATAAAATATAATTTGTTTAAATATCAATAATAAATTTAATTTTTTAATAATTTATTATTAGTTAAATAATAATTATTATCTGAAATGATTTATATACTTAAAATAATATACATTTTTAATATATATATTTTTTGACATTCTTTACAGAAAAACAAATGATTTCTCTTAAATTGGTGAGTTCTTTATAAATTGAATTTTAACTATATTAACTTAATTTAAATTTATATTAATATTTATGATATTAAACCAATATTAAATGAAATTAAAAAATTATTTATTTTAAATTTGAACGAAAATGTTCAAAAAATCACTCATACGCCACGTACGATTTTTCTCCGATTGTAAATCATTTTAAATTCCATTTTTTTTTAACAAAGTTATTCATTTATAAATTTTATCAATAAAAATTATTTTGAATGCATATTAATAAAAACTAATAGTTTTGCCAAAGTTGACTATTATTCGATATTCATAATAATAGCAATCGCCTATATTTTTTCGTTTGAAAATGAGATATTATGTTTTTTTTTGCTTAAAGACGCTAGTAAAATGATACTTTGTATAATTATGAAGTTTAATATGCAAATATTAAGGTAATTAATTAAGCTATTAATATTAAATATTAATATTCAGTTTGAAATTGTACTAGTTGGACGAAAGGCTGCACAAAAGATCTTTCAGGTCGCAGTGCATGTACAGCCTATCCGTAATAATAATATTAATAATGAGGCTTAATAGCTGGTGTATTGATTAAAAATTAATTTTATATTACAAGACCCTAATTTTCAAACTTTAATCCGTAATTCGGGGAAACCCAAATTTCTAGAAGAAACTATGTTATGAAACTATGTGTCGTTTATAGTATAATAATTCTTTTTTTCCTTTACAGAGCCAGACACCTCTAGAACTTACTATCTATCTACTGTTTTGTTGGTCATAAATGATTAAAATTTTTCATTTGAAATTTGTTGAGTTCTAATAAATAATTATTTCATGATTATTTATTACAATCGCGAACGTAATCACAATTACAATATCTGTGTTCATCGTCAAGTTGTTAATTAATTAAACAATTAATTTTAGTTACTAATTAAAATAAGTGATTTTCACACTTTTTTGCTGTTTGTAGTGTTGCACTGAAGTTCGCAACATCTCTGCTCCCCCTCCTCTATTCACTATTCACTACCTGTATTAGTGAATACTTTTGGATTTTATGGTTTTGGCTTAATTTGCATTTGCATGCATTTAACATAATTGCAATTCCAACAACAACCGCTGTCATCAACAACATACAATCGCATTACGAACAACAATTGCAATTATTGCAACTCCATTAATAACAACAACAATAAGAATGACAACAACATGTCAAGAGTATAAAATTCGAAAAAAAATCCCACACCTCGTCACATCACATTTGGGAGGCAGACGTTGAGAATATCTTCGTATATATATTGGAATTGCATAATTCTTGGGTTTTCTACGGCGGCTAAGTTTTTCTGTTGTCTCAGTTTTTTTTAGTTTTTTAACTGAAATTCTTTGTATTTCATTGGTTTTGGAAAACCGCATCCACACAAATGACATTGTAAGAAAATGTGGTTGCACTTGATGATTCGCGCACTTGCCTATCTGTCGCTCTATGGCAACCTCCATCATCGCCACTGCGGTATAGTATCTTATTGCTGCTCTACCAACGACTAGCTGTGCTGGCCTCATGGCACCGCATAACTAACCATAACCAATAATAAAACCTCAACTGACTTAAACGGTTCAAATGTTGAAATACAATGTCTGTCCGTTGTTTCTGGGGATGACTTACTAATAAATTGCTAATGCTGAGATGCCGCTGCTGTGTGTTGTAATGTTGTGGTCTCTCAGTCCATCTGACGCTTCATTGCATAAATCATGCGCTTAGTCAATTGAAAATTTAAAAAAAAAAAATAAAAAAATTTTTATAAAAAAAATAAAAAAAAATAAAAAACAAAAACAAAACAAACAAAAAAAACTTATTGCTTATAATGATGATCTCTGCGTTGGATGCTTGATAGGTGCTGCTATTTCTGCTATTTCTGTGCTCTGCTGCTAATATTGTTGTTGTTATTACTATTGTTGTTGTTGTAGCCTCACCACTTGTTGCTGGCTTACATTGCACTGCATTTCATGGTTAGTGCTGAGTTTTTTTTTTGTTTTTTCTATTGACTTTGAAAATTGTTTGCGTGACGTTTCAGAGGCAATTTTTTTTTTCAACATTTTTTCGCATTCTGTGATTTAATTTTCATGAATCTGTTTTTTTTTCTTTTGTTATTTGCTTTTATTACTCTTTTTCATTAGAATTACTACTTTTTTATTATGGTTTTATTTTTATTTTTTTTTTCTGCTCATTGAAACTAGTTTATGTGGTTTTCGATTAATTTTCTTTCGCTCCACAAGCGACCATAAACTGATTTATTGTGTATTTTCCTCTCGGTTTTATGGCATCCGATTAATTTAATTAGTAGTTACTTGGGTTAGTCATTAAAATTTGTTTGATTTGCTTTTTAATTATCTTTTAATAATATTAAAAAATGACTTTGTTTTTTTTTTAACAGATATTCAATCTTTTATTTTTACTCTTTAAAAAAATTTAAATAAAAAAATTCGTCCGAAGTTAGGATGTCCTAAACATTTGCATTTGGACTTCCATTCGAATGAAGAAGTGTATTCTGTTCAATGGGAGTCTGTTCTGTACAATTTCCTTATGAGTGTCTGGCTTTAGTCTGGGCCAAGTGGAGATAGCTAATTCAATAGTTTCTACCCTCGTCCGAAGTTAGCATATCTTCAACAGCTGATGTTTTGGTATTCATTCCAATGGAAAAGTGTCTCGTTTAGTTATTTTTTTATTTTATTATTTTTTATTTATTTTTTTATATATTTTTTTTTATTTTTTTTTTATGTTATTTTATTTTCAATACAGTTACAGTTAGTGTCGGTAAGAGCCAAATAGAAGTTTTATAATTTTTAACTTAAAAAAAATTAAAATTTTTTTTATATACGTTATAAAAGAGTTCTTATTTTGTTATAACTAAAATTTTATAATAAACTTTTATTATAATTTACTAAGTTTCATTAAAAAAAAACAATTTTTCTTATTATTAATTTTATTTTATATATTTACTTTCATTTAATTATTTATTAATTATTATATTTCATTTTATAGAATAATTATTTAATTATATTATAATATTTCTCTTTTTATTTATATAAAAAGAGAAAAAAAATTATATAATTTTTTACATTTATTAGAAATTTTTTTTCTTGTTTGTTTTCACTATATTTTACTATATTTACACCTTCAGTGGTCTTGAAATTATTTTTTTTATTCGTAATTTTGTTTTTATTATTTTAATACATTTTTATTTTTTTATAATGTTTTCTCCTTTGATTAATTTATGTTGGTATTTTTTTTAATAAATTTTTATTTTTGTTATAATTTATTATTATTAGTTTTGAATTTATTAAATTCTTTTTTATGCTTTTATGATATTTTTCATTTTATTTATGCATAAAAAAAAAATTATTTATTATTTATATTTACATTTAAAGACATTTTTTTTTTGCTATAACTTAAAAGGAAATATTTACATTATTAGTATATTTAGCATATATTTTAAGAAACCATATTTTTTATATTATTAATTTATTATTTATAATTTATTAAATTAATTTATAATTTATAATTTTTTTTTTTAACTTTTAATATCTTATTATTAATTTATAATATATTATTATTTATTTTTAATTTCTTATAATTAATTTATCTTTCATTATTATTAATTTATAATGTATTATTATTAATTTATAATTTAGTATCATTCATTAATAATTTATTATTATTAATTTATAATTTATTATTATTAATTTATGATTTATTATAATTAATTTATGATATATTATTATTAATTTTTAATTTATTATTATTAATTTATAATTTATTATTATTAATTTTTAAGTTATTTTTATAAATTTATAATTTATATTTATTAATTTATAGTTTATTATTATTAATTTATAATTTATTTTTATTTATTTATTTTATATTATTATTAATTTAGTAATAATTTATTAATATGACGTAATTAATATGACGAAATTATTAAATTCATCATTATTCTTTTGTATTCGTTTTACTATTATTTATAAAAAAAAAGGAAAAAAAAAATTTTATATATGAAAAACTTTTTTTTCACATTATTTAATGTTGTTTTCTTTTCTTGTGAATTAAAATAATTTTGCTAAAACATTCTAATTAAATAAATTGGCGTACACGTATTCACAAAGCATAAATTAAATCAATGCTTTTATCTATGCCCACAGGTCTGCCTGCATGCGTTTGTTGTCATAATTTTGCATATAATTTATGTCTCAGATAGAATGTATGAGATATACTCTGCACATGCATCACAATATATTAGTACTTTTAGTATATTTATTTATATATATAAATATTATATCTGAAAAGCTAATAGCGCATAATTTTTATTTACTGGCAGCAAAATTTATTGTCAGCAATGCGAGATAATCGTCGACAATCGCTAAAATATGCTGCTGCACGCATACCTCAATGCTAAGATAAACTAAAAAATAATTTATTCACATCTAACTCGTATATGTTATATCTATTTAATATATATTTTAATTTTTTTTTTTCTAAATATAAAATTCAAAGCACATAATCGGTGCTATATTTTACGACACTTGTCATAAATGAAAGAATAAAAACCGATTTCGTTTCTAGATTAGCCGCCGCAGGTAATTGAAGATTTCAGTTCTGTTGCTACTTGTGTTGCTATTGTTAGTATTATTATTATTATTATAGTTGTTGTTGTTGTATTAGTTGTTGTTGTTTTTGGTATTGAAAAACTCAAATAAGATATGAAACAATAATTCAGCCTCAAGTACAAATCAACAAATCGGCCGAAATTGTTTAGAATCACAAATCACAAACCGCATTTGGTAAGCAGCAGCAATTGCTGGCGGTGAGTGAGCAACAAACAAATACGCAGACAAGAACACCTCCGAAGGTGATTTTCGCATCCAAATAAATTTAACAAATATATATATATATATAGAAAATTCAATTTAGAGAAAAAAAACAGAAACAACAACAACAACAGTAGTAGCAGCAATAGCAACA